AAATAAGGAAAAATCTTGTTTTTTTTTTTCGCCCATTATTTTAATCATACATTTTCCAAAAAATACTATTTCAAAACTCTTTTTAAAAAAAAAACTCAAAATGGGGCTCAAACAAGAGCCTAAATTTTAATTTAAGTCTGTCGATAATTAATTTTAATTGTATATTTTATTGGATTCATAACTTTTCAATCGCACATTTTATCAATTTTTATCAAAGACTAATAAAATTATGATTTTAATCCCTACAAATCCGGGGCTTAGACTATTAATTTTTCCTTTAATATGTCACCTTCATATGGAGGCATCACTGCCTTAGGGTTTGAGGATTGGTGGGGTGAGGGTGAGGCTTGGGTTGAGGGGAAGTGTGGCAAAAGATTTTTTTTTAAAAATTTTATTTATTTCTTGTATTTCGTTTACTGCTTCTTTAAATTTGAAACTATGTCATTTCATGCACGCTTCCTTCTTTTGATGGAAATTGTGATCAAGGACAAATATATCTGAAAATGATAGATCGAGTAGTTGGAGTTTAGAAAAAAAGTTGAGACAAGAAACACGGAATGTGTCAAATATTTAGAACCGTTGGTACAATTTACCGTTAACTTGATAAGATAAAATGGATCAATGATTAGGGGAGATTATGGTGGGGCGGAGGCCGTGGCCGTAACCCGGATTCTTCAATTATATTATACAAATACCAAGTCAAATTGAGTAACCAATAATAGAGAAAAGGAAAGAGAAGCAAGCATAGGGCTTGTGCGGCGGTGCGGGTTTATAAATAGAGACCTCCTCTGCAAGCAAAAATCACAACAAACCTTTCCAAATTCCTTCTTCCTTTATCACATTAAGCATTTTTGGTTCTTTATTTAATCAATGGAAATCCCAGAGAAATTCGGCAGGTTTTCGAGCTGCCGGGGAGTGGCTTTCGAAATCAAACCACATTCAGATCCATTTGCAATTTCCAATCCCACCATCGATCCACCTAGAAACAGTAGAAAATTTTGGCTTCCATGGGGGAATGCTTCAAAAATTGTTCCATCTTCGGAACTCATGCAAAGGTCAATGAGCCGAACCAGCAGCCATTTCTGTGATCTTGAAGTTGATTATGATGATGAAGATGATGATACTCTTGCTGATATTGAAGAAGGCTATGAAGAAGAGAAAGTGGAGACACTGCCACTGCCTCTTCCACCAGCCTTCAGTAAACGTGAACTGCCCAAAGCCACCGGCAGCGCAGCCAAGGCGAAGCCATCGAGACTGTCGGTGATACTTCTTGATCAAGGCTTGTTCACTGTTTACAAACGGCTCTTTGTCGTTTGTTTGGCTTTAAACATTACTGGTCTGGTTCTTGCAGCAACTGGACACTTACCATATGCAAGAAACCGAGCCGCCTTATTTTCTATAGCAAACATTTTTGCTTTGGTCCTCTGCCGGAGTGAGGCGTTTTTAAGGATTGTTTTTTGGGCGGTGGTGAATGTTTTAGGGTGGTCATGGGTTCCATTGAGGCTAAAGACAATGGTCACAGCCAATAACGTTAGAGAACCACCTTATGACAGTAGCTGTGGTATTTCATCAATTGCATGGCTTGTTTATGCTTTAGTCCTCACTCTTAAAGACAGAGAAAACACTTCCTCCGCCATAATTGTCGTCGCCTCGGCCATTCTTGCACTTCTCTGCCTCTCTTCTCTGGCGGCGTTCCCCCTAGTCCGCCACCTCCACCACAACGTGTTTGAGAGGACTCACCGATTTGCTGGTTGGACTGCCCTTGCCCTTCTCTGGGCATTCATCATCCTCACAATCTCTTACGACCCGAAAACCAAATCCTACAGCGATGATCTTGGATTAAAACTGATCAAACAGCAGGAGTTCTGGTTTACATTGGGAATTACTACACTAATTTTAATTCCATGGTTGAGTGTGCGCAGAGTCTCGGTTAGGGTTTCTTCCCAATCCGGTCATGCCTCGATCATCAAGTTCGAAGGCGGTATTAAAGCTGGAATCTTGGGCCGGATTAGCCCGTCCCCCCTTTCCGAGTGGCATGCATTCGGAATCATTTCAGATAATAAGAAAGAGCACATGATGCTCGCTGGTGCAGTTGGTGACTTCACAAAATCGTTGGTCTCAAATCCACCAAGCCACTTGTGGGTTCGACAGGTGCACTTTGCGGGACTTCCTTATTTAACAAACTTGTACGACAGGGTGCTTCTAGTGGCCACCGGCTCGGGAATCTGCGTCTTCCTCTCCTTTCTCCTACAGCCATGTAGAGCCGAAGTCTGCTTACTTTGGGTGACAAAAGGGGTGGAACAAAATTTTGGTAAAGAAATCAAACAAATGTTGTCTGGACATCCTAACGATAAGGTTATTATCCATGACACAGCAGTGCTTGGACGCCCCAACGTGTCGCAAATGAGTGTTGACACGGCCAAGAAATGGGGAGCGGAGGTTGTGATTGTCACCAGCAACCCGGAGGGAAGTAGGGACGTGGTTAATGCATGCAAGGGTGCTGGAATTTCTGCCTTCGGTCCTATTTGGGATTCTTGAAATTAATCTTTTAATTCGCAATTATTTATATTATCAAGTTTCACTTTTAATGTAATTTCCAAGTGTATTATGCAATTACCCGTTATCTTAATAAATCATCATAGCATGCGAATGTCAACCACAAATAGTCTTTTGGTCATTGCCACTATTATCTTCACTGTTTGCATACTCTAAAACTTGATTTGGCTCAGGAAAAGACTCTTCTACATAAACGTGTTGAACGTCACATAGGGACAAATTACTTTGATCGAGTCTTTGTCACAAATAAAAGAAAACTAATAACATCTGTCCGAAAGTAAGTACCGAGCTTTATATGAGTTCGACCACATTAAGCTCTTGTTTGGTGAAATTAAAAACTTAGATTTTACTCTAATTTAAAGTGAATAATTGATTTCAATCGCATATTTTATAGGATCCGTAATTTTTCAACCGTAAGTATCATCAACTTTTATTAAGGGCTTGTCTAGCAGTGCTTGTTTCACAGATTTTAAGCAAATTTCCAACCGTTACAAATGGGTTGGCAGCAAGTTTTGACTTATTTGTTGTGGAAATTACATCAAACCCTATATTTCAAGATTCAACTTCCAAAATCAAATTGAAAGTTTGTTAATTCAAAAATCAGAAGTTTTTTTAATTAATTATTTAAAAAACATAAACCCCAATTAATTCTACTTTCTTATCTCTCTCTACATTTCTCCACTCTCTCTCTCTCTACAAACCCTCATCTCTCATCCCCGTCACCACCACAATCTTTCTCTCTCTCCACCTTCGTTCTCTCTCTCCCTCCACTACAGGGCAGATCAACAGTTGGGTGCGACGATGAGTACAGTGATAGCTACAGCAGCGATCAACAGCCAAAGCCACTACCTTCGTTCTCTCTCTTTCCCTCCACTACAGCGACGATTGATAGCAGCGTGCGGCGTTGGGTGCAGCGATGGGTGCGGCTATAGTGCGGTGATGGGTACGGTGTTAAGTGTGGTGATGGCGGTGGATTTTGTTGTGGCGGTGGCGGTAAGGGTAAGGTGTTGGTATGTTTTTTATTAACAGTGAATGGGTGTTGGTTCGAAATTGTGGTTGTGGTGGTGGTGGAGATGGTGGGGTGGCGACGACGGCAGTGCGGTAATGGCTTTTGTGGTGGTGGTGGTAGGGTGGCGAGATGGTAGTACGGTGGTTTTTTGGGTTTTTTTTTGTTGGTGAGACTGTGGTGATACATGTGGCGGTCGACGTTAGTGGTAGTTGTGGCGGTGGCAGCAGCGGCAACGATGCGGTTGGTGGTAGTGGTGAGGTGGTGGTCACAAAAAAATCGCATAATGGACAAACCGTGACCTTAAAATTCAACAATTTGTGACTAAAAATTAATCTGTGACCAATAAATTTGAAAATACGTGACTAATAAATAACTGTGACCTGTAATTTTTTGAGTAATAAAATAATATGTGACCTATAAAATTATTGATTTGTGACCTCGAAATAATTCGTGATCTACAAAAATTTTGATTAGTGACCAATAAACAAACTGTGATCTATAAATTTTTTGAACTGTGATCGTAAAATAATTGTGAAGTGTAAAAATTATAATTTGTGATCGAAAAATAATATGGGATTCATTAAATCGTGAATTTGTGACCATATTTTATAAATATGTGACTTTAACATATTTAATTAATAAATATATAATTAATTAATTAAATCATAAAATACATTTTAATAAAAATCTGATTTTTGAAATTTGAAACATGTTTGCTTAGTTTTGAAATGGGCAATAGTTTTCTTCTTACTTGTGAATTTTTCCCTTTTTTGTTTCACAATGGTGCCCACTTGTTGGAGTCCAACAGTCAAAAAAGGAATTATTTGGCTCAAACAATTTCTCCCAGACACGCACTAAAATGTACTAAAAATCTAATTTTATTCCTCACCAAATAGGAGCTAAAATGACAAAGCTGAAAACGATCCTAACACGATATCTTCATAATGAAAATAAAGTAAAAAGCTCATATACTATCTATTCAAGTCAAGGCATCATTAAGAGGTGATATTTCTTTTATCTTTTCGCTGGCGAATATTTCGAAGAATCAAACGAAGGGTACATATCTTGAGTACGTCATCAACAGGAAGAAGAATGTCACTTTAAGATCCTACGTGCAAATTAAAATTTTCAAATAAATACTAACAAGTGAGTGCATTATATTATTTTTTTTAGTTTAATAGCTGCTATTGAACTCATGCTATTTTTCTACTCTGCAGTTTATTGCTTTGTGAGCTCCTGAATTATATATTTGCATCCAAACTAGGACCGAACAACAAAAACATCAAAAAATCGGAATAGCTTTTTTGAAACTGTTGATTTGAGTTCACGTTGATTTGTCGACCTTTTGATTTTGAACCGAATCAAACCACTTTGAAGTGTTTTGATTTAGGGTTTAGTTTATAAATTTCAATTTTGTAAATTTTAATAAAAAAAAAATAATGATATGTATGATTCAAAAGTTGATAAAAGTTGTGGATCTCATTAAGTGTGATTAAAAGTAATTGCTAACTTTTACTTAAATTTTTATTAACCTTTTTAACTAAACCAAACATGAACTTACCGTTCTCTTCCTTATTTACAAACAACTCATAAACGGTTAACCGAACACCAAAAACTCCATCAATAATGCCAACAATCCCTTTAATTCTTGATTTGAAGGAAATTTTATACTGCAAGCTAAATCAGTTTTATTTAAAAAATGTCATAAAGATGGTGACACTAAATGAGTGAACAAATGTATGAATTAAAAAGTAGATAGCTATAAATTCAACTCCTATTTGGCAGAGATTAAAATTAAATTTTTAATAAATTTTGATTAAAAAAAATGATGAAATATGTAATTGAAAAGTTGTGGGTCCCATGAATTGTGTGGTTAAAATTAATTGTTGACTTTGACTTGAAGTTTAATTGGATTTTAATCCAAACAAAACAAGGGCTTAATGCAAATTAGTTAACTTGCTATTGAACAAGTGAGTGCATTATATTATTGTTTTTAGTTTAATAGCTGCTACTAAACTGAAGCTATTTTTCTACTCTACAGTTTATTGCTTTGTGAGCTTCCTGAATTATATATTTGCGTCCTAACCGCACTCCCTAAAATCTATGCTCTACAATTTTCAATTTTCATTTTGACTAATAATGTTAGCTCCAATTTTCCGTTTTCATAGTTGTTTCCTCTATTTGGTTTGAATAAAGTCCGATAGAAAATAAAAATATATTGTTATGCTCTATGTGATCTTTAAGCATTCACAAATCCTTAAAGTATTATTATATGTTCGTAGCCATCATAAAAATATAGTCGGATTTCAGGTAAGAATATGTTTAATTTAACAAACATAATTGAATAAAATCGAAAGAGATTGTTAATCAATTTAGGAATATTGATATTCATAATTGAATAAGTATTAGGTTTAAAGGGAATTGATAGAAGGGGATTCGAGATCCAATTACATTTTTCATCAAACTTGCATTAATCACAATCTTGAATCGATTTTAGTTAAGTTAGGACTTGCATCATAAGTAAATTTTTTAATTACAATTTAATTTTACGAAAAAATCACAATTTTAATAGTTTCGATTAAAGTTAAGTTAATTTAAATTTGTATTAGTACAATCTCCATTGGTACAATATTCGGACACAAAATTCATTTGACTACTTATTAACGGTCCGTGCACTTGCAGTGATTTTAAACAGATCAAAATTTTCTTGACATAAAACAACTAGTGCACCAATGACATTTGAAATATGTGTTGGATATAGTAACTATGATACTAATACATATATTGATAAAGTTGGAAATACATTTTTCTTTGTCGAACAATGCAGTATGGACCTATCAATAAAGCTATTTGTACAAAGTGAAGTTATAAAAATTGGGTTACAAATCACGGTAGTCAGACCAAATGCACATATCTAGTGCATCAAGAGGGGTCTCTCATCAACACATTGTATATCAGTAGTCATGTTGGTCACGTTTGAGTTAAGTGTTTCATTCTCTTATATGATCTCATATTTCTCTTACTATGGGCATTCTTCTCCACTTGTGCAACTGGGTTCTCATTCCCATCCCGGTTTTTTTTTTTGCTGTTTGATTCGTTTCCACTCATACTTTTGAGTTTTTTTCCCTCATGTATGTTCTTCTCATGATCTTTGTAAGATTTCCTACAGCTGATGTCAATTGTTAACCTCAAAAAATAGAAATTATTTTCTAAAGCCATCGGTGGAATTTCCTATGGGTGTGTTTTTAGGTACATTCATTGTAGAAAAGAGTAGAAATAGGGTTTTGGCATTATTTAACTGAAAAGTACACTTCAATCAAACAATGCTAAGATTTTCAAGAGTACCTACCCTTAGTTTTCCCATGTCGTGATGCGGTTTTTAGAAAATGGAAGAATAGATCTTAGATTTTCAACTTTTCTTCTCTTTTTTTTCTTTTTCTATTTGTGCAAATGACCCTATTTATAGACAACTTTTAGGGACCTTTTGCAAATTTTTGTAAGTAGACATTCTCTAATTATTATGTTGAAAGTTATAATTAAATCCAATTTAAAAGGTTCTCTCATTGAGGTTTGTACTTTAACGACATTGCTAATTTTCAAGAATTGTTGGAACCATTTCGTGGTGTATTATTGGAATATTATAAATATGAGTTAATATTCCATTCCCAAATGCAATTTAACGTCAAGAAATTCATACCTTGTTATTCCAAATTCATCAAATCATATTCAAACAATTTTAAGTTTTCTTCAATTACTTGTGCTATAATATTATTTCTTTAGGCTTGATAAATGCTACAAATTATTTGTCATTTAAATCATTTAAAGCATTAGGAGATGAGGCAAATATCGTTTAAGGACAACGTTGACCACGTGTTCAAGTCTTGTTATTCCAATCCAAATTTTGGTTTTTCCATCTTCAACCCTTTTTCTCTTCATTGTTGCAATATTTCCAACAAGAACTTCTCTCATAGGTAGGAGACATAGTTGCTCACCATCACAACTCTTGGTTTCAATGACTTAGAGGTCATCTTTTGCCTTAGCACGTCCAAACTTCCTCCTTGTGACTCCATCTTGAAAATTACAATGCCACAAAATGTATAACTTGAAGTACCGGAAGAATAATATTGAAACCGATAGTTCATTAAATTGTTGAATACCGAAATAATATTAACTGTTAATATAAAAGAACGTGTTCACCATTGTCATCTCCATTCACATTCACTTTCTGGACATCATATAATTGATAGAAGAAAATCATTCAAAAATCATATAATGGAGGAAATGTTAGAGGTGGAGAAGTGAAGGGCCCATTAACCAAACCCATAGCTATATGTCGGTAGGCACTTTCAGTTAAATGGATTCCATCCCAATTTGCATAAGTTGATGGATCCAAACAGGCTCTTGATCCAGGGTACCCACACCTCGCTGAATTGTTGAAATTGTATGGCCCACCCCCTCCGCAACAATCCACTAGAGCCCCTTCGGAAAATCCTGCACAGGTTGTGTATTTTCATTATTATATTTATTTTTTAAAAATGGTCGAAAAATCGAATTATATTTTTCCTCCAAAAAAAAGTTATTATTAAAAAACCAATGCTAATTAGTACCGATTTAAGTGACAACTCTGCAGCGCTGCCAATCTTTCTTAATTATGCAATTTAAATAGTAAAGTGGGTGTTTCGCTAACAATTAAAAGATAGTTCAGACGATTGTGTAAGGAACAACAACCTCTCGAAACAAAGTCCCAACGAGAGGTGTTTTAACTCCGTTTTGAATTTTTATATGGTCTCGTTTGAATCCACCCATCGAATTTCCTAACTGGGCTTCATTCCTTGGACCATTTAATTGGGCCTCATTTTTTGTATGTCAACAATGGCAAAGAAAAATAAGTGAGTGAACTTACCATAATGCTTGGGGGAGTGGAAAAATCTCTCGGCAGCTCCATAATAATCAGCGTAAATAATTTTTGCATGGGGGTATTTTTGTCTTAATGTCTCCAGGGCAAGTTTGAGCTGAGAATTGTGGTACTCGGAGAAAGCATTATATGCTTTTAAGCAGCCATTTTGATCATAAGCTGATTTATTCGGTGTTCTAAACAAGGTTAGATACGCAGCAATGCAACCAATTGGCAAGTTTCCTGGTACTATTAATTCTACTGCTCCTCCTTCTATCAACATCTGAAAAAATCCCCAAAGAAAATATTCGAAATGTTAAAATTATTTTTATAACTGCAGACGGACTCAAGTCCTAATATTACGTGCATTTGTGTTGAGAATTAGAATTTATAATTCTACACCATCAAGAACAATAAAACCACAGTAAAAAAAAAAACGAAATAAAAGAAGACGCAAGATTTATAGAGATTTATCTCAATGTGAGACTACGTCATCGTCCATTGTTTCAGTAATTCGACCAAAAGAAATTTATAAGAGACACCCTATATTTTATAATATCTCTCTTTCTCTTTCTCTTTTTTCTTTTTTGTCTATAATTACAAAACCCCAAACCCTAATTATATTTACCTATTTTTCGATTTGCTTAACGATTCCGTACACTGCAATTAAGCACCACAACTTAACAAATTTATTTATATGTTTACACAAAAAACGTTGTAAAGCTTCAATCATTGCTATTTATGTAGGATTAATTAAATCAATATTGTCGACGTCATCTTAATAATATTAAGAAAACATAAGAGCAAGTAAGAAATTATTATTATTTTTTATTGATGTAATAAATGTGAGGTAGGGGCGTACACTAGTGGCAGCAACAATGGTTTCAACTACCAGTGGGACAAGAGCTTTAAGTTGTTTAATGGTTCCGCCAACAAAAAATGGATAGTTGTAGTCATTGCCACCGATCTCACCCACGAGAAATAGAGATCTTTCGAAATACTTCGCACAATCTGTCACCACAATAATTAAAGTAATTTCCATAAATTACAAATCAACTAAACAAAAAAAATTATGTGATCAAGTTGAGGAAGAACTAGTTAAAATTTTCAGTATACTTTTTGAGTTTTGATTTGGAAAAAAAACCACCTCTAAATATCTCTACATGTAAATTTGATTTATTTTTCAATCAATAACTTTAAAAAAAAATGAATTTTTCATATATAATGTGGAACATAATGAACCTTGAACTCAGTACATTAATTTAATATGATATATATGAAGTGGTCATCTCATCTTATTTGTTAATATTTATATACACTATAATAATATGCATAGCTTTTGACTGTTTTGTGGATGATTGGCTAAGTTTGGAGCATCTCCAAGAAACTCTATATTTATAAATAATATTTTATGTATATTATAAATTATCTTTAAATTAAGAGAGTAAATTTTGTGTGTACTTTTACAATAATCTCTATTTAATTTGACTCTTTATTTTGTTTTTCGATGAATATTTATTGATTTCTCTTTATCCCAATTGATTTAAATAATTTAAATTATAGAGTATTGAAATTTGTAACTTACTAAATGCAATATTTGTTATTTTACTAAATTAAACTATAGTGTCTCTTTGAACTTATTTTTAAGTATCGACTCTCTAAAATAGAGAGTATTTTATGTTTATAGTGTATCTTGTAGATGCTCTTAAAAGGTTTATTAGTAAGAATTTATTTATAGGAAAACTAATTAATTTCTTATTAGTCAAAATGTTATCTATGTGAAAGTAACATTTTCAAACATCGGCCCTATTTGGTGAGGGATTAAAATTCAAATTTCTAGTAAATTTTGATAAAAATTGATGAAATGTGTGACTAAAAAATTGTGGATCATATAAAATATGATAAAAATTAACAGTTGATTTTGACCTTAATAAGAAGGTTTAATAAAAGTAAAAAGTAACTTTAATCTTAGCATGTAGGTTCATCATGGCATTGTTCCATGTAAATTATTACAGATAATTTCCATTTATAATTACCTTCTTTCGTGGAACAAAGTGTAGATTTGAGCTTCTTGAACCACCCAAGTTGAACACTCAATGAATCATTTGTCCACAAGAGCTGTCCAATCTTGCGATCATAGAAAAATTTTGCGTCTATTGCAGTAGCTCCAGCAACTGCAAAATTCCCTCCATGCTCGAATTTCTGGTCACCTTTAGCAAGTGCCAAATATGGTGGCAGATAAGGTAATCCATATGCCTCAGCTACATAAAATTTTCACAAACCATTATAAAGTAAATCTAAGACAGATTTCATGCATCTTTCTATGCTCACACGAACAATAATGAGGAGTAAGAGAATGTAATTATGGTATGTACCAATGAAGTCGACTACAAGACGGCCATTAGAGCAACGTCCGGTGGCACGATGAAAGTAAGTTTCGCCATAAGGAAGCTTTCCAATGACTGGATATGCAAGGGCTCCTGAAAGGAGAAAATTTCCTGTGTCAGCATATGAGTCCCCAAAGCTAAAAATTGAGTTATACTTAAGACGAGGGCTAGCTGAAACTATCCCTAGACAAGAAATTATCTTTAGGATTGAAATGATTTTCATGCTGGTTATATGAGGAACTAGAAGGAAATTAACCAGTGTGTTGTTTGCTTTTGTGTACGTAAGTGCCCTTAAATAGGCAGCAATTCATATTTGTTTAATTTGCAGCAATCTTTGGCTGAGGTGATAAATATAGTCACGCAATATCTGTATAAAAAATTGTCACTAGTTAAGGGATAAAATCTCACATCGAATAAAGATGAAAGCATAGACCAATTTATAAGAGTTTTGATTACTCCTTTTAGTAAGGTTGACATTTTAAGATGGAATCACAAATCTTAACATGGTATCAGAGCCTGTTAATCTCCAACGAGCAATTCGATCTGATTAAGATTCAAAAAAATTGAGCACACGAATTTCAAGATTGGTATACTCAAACGAGCCACCATCTTGAAAGGGCATGTTAAGGGATAAAATCTCACATCGAATAAAGATGAAAACATAAATCAATTTATAAGAATTTGAGCTATTCCTCTTAATAAGATTAACATTTTAAGATAAAACCTAAAATCTTAACATTTTCTAGGGTCTATGTTGAAAAATCAATTATTTTTACTTTAATTGGACAACAAATTTTGAAGCAATATAAAATGGATTACATATATGAAGCAGTTGAACTAAAATTAATTAATCTAAATAGGGAAGTCAATACAAATTTTTTATATAATTTTTTGCAATAAAATTGTAACTTGCAGTTATGACCAACTTTATAATTGTACACCAAAGTAATGTTTGAAAAATGCCATTAGACACGCTAATAATTGAAATTGTTGTATTATGTGGACCAATTGGGCAAATTACTCTATAAACTTACCTTACTCTTTTAAGTGTGATAGCAACTTCTTAACAAAATCTAATTTCCATAGTAATTTTTTTTGGACAATGGTTGTGATGTTTGAGGTGTGAATCTTGACTTTATTAGGGTTTACGTCGAGAAGTCTATTATTTTTCTTCAATTGGACAACAAACTGGGCAAGTTACTCTACAACCTTACTTCAAGTGTGATGGCAACTTCTTAACAGAACTAATTTATTTAATTAGTAATTTTGTTTGGACAATCTTTGTGAGGTTTGAGGGATGAATCTTGACTTTTCTGTTGAGGGATAAAATCATTTATCGAATAAAGATGAAAACATAGATCAATTTATAAAAATGTAGGATATTCCTCTTAATAAGGTTGACATTTCAAAATGAAACCCCAAATCTTAATATGGTATCAGAGCCCGTTAAATTTCAACAAGCAATTCGATCCAAATAAGACTCAAAAAAACCGAGCACACGAATTTTAAGATTAGTCTGCTCAAACGATCCACCATCTTAAGGGAGCATGTTAAGGGATAAAATCCCTCATCGAAAAAAGATGAAACTATAGATCAATTTATAAGAATTTGGGTTACTCCGCTTAATAAAATTGACATTTTAAGATGAAATCTCAAATTTTAACATTTTCTAGGGTCTACGTTGAAAAATCTATGATTTTTACTTTAATTGGACAACAAATTTTGCTAAGATGGATTTCTGTGACTTGCTAAACTCGCTTTTTAGGTAATCTCAAACCTATTTCACTAAAATGATGTTACTTTTACCAAAAAAAAAAATGGTGCTACTTTCTCCCCATTGTATTTAGTTATCTCAAATCCATTGCACCAAATGTTACATCAAATGTATAGTGTTTTCTTTATTTGATGTCAAGATATGAAGTTGGTTTGGAGGAGATTTTCATACCAATTTGACGTTTACGCCAAATTAATGTGAGGTTGGAGTTTCCCTTATAACATTATAGAGTCACGGTTGAAGTTGAAATTTAAACATTATAAAGTCACGGTTGAAGTTGAAATTTAAACATTATAGAGTCACGGTTGAAGTTTCATTATAGCATGTTTGAAAAGGGTAATTAGGACAAAATGTCTATATTTTTCAATATTATTTTATTAAACGCCATAATTTTTACTTTTTGACATTTTCACCCTTATTTCTAATTTTCATTGCTAAAAATGTCATTTCATACACCTACTATCAGTTGCTCCGTTAATTTAATATAAAAAGTCTGGGTAATCAGCACAAAACGTCCATACATTTTAATATTATTGTGAAAAAAATTCATATTTTTTATTTTTTGGCATTTTCACCCTTATTTCCACATTTCATGGCCAAAAACATCATTCCATCCACTTATAGTCAATTATTCTGTTAAGTCTCAGCTCAATTTCTTTTCAGACGGTTTTACATTTTCCTTGGAGCATTGAGTGATAGTTTTATTAGGTCTTGCATAAGGGTGATTGGGTTAGATGAAATACAATGTTCTTTATGCTAATTTTTTTCTTTATTTAATGTAATAATTTTATAAATGATTTTCATATTTACGCTATTGTTACTTATGGAATAATTATTTGGAAGATGAGAGAAATAGGTTAAATGAGTTGAGACTATTTTACATTTGGTGTTTGAAAGGAAAATAAGGGTGAATGGCTGAATATGGGTCATAGTCAAATGATCATGAAAATAGAAGATTGATACAAATAGTACTCCGGCTGTGTGCTGGGGGTTGAGGGGGTAGGTGGGGTGGTATGCAATTCGTTGCTTTTCGTAAATTAATTGTCATCACTACTTGTATTTCGTGCACTAAAATTTACACACACATATTTACTAAAACAAAATGAATAGCACACCACATATTTTCTCTACCTTTCTCTCAGAAATATATCTATTTTCTCCCACAATATTTTTCAGTTTACACACACCAAAGGAGATATAAAGAGAGAGAGAGAGAGANTATATTTATCGGAAATTAAAACAATAATAATTCCTTCCGAATAATACTATTAGTAATTGTACAAATGCTTGGAAGGGTTGCCTCCAAAAAAATAATAATAATAATAAAAAGAAAAATGAATTGCTTGGGTGGGGAGGTCATTGACTCTTTCATGATATACTTTTTCTCTTTCAATTTACCCGTTACCAAATGAAGGAATAAGTCCCAATGCATGAACTAATTTTTTTTTGCAGCGTTGGGAAGTTTGGACAGACTTGACTTGACAATTTAAATTGAATGAGAAAGTACTTATAAACCCAATTGACTTTTACGTGCATTGTTTATGTAATATTCAAACAATTGACTTTTACTGTAATATTCAAACAATTGACTTTTACGTGCATTGTTTATGGACCATATGATTTATAGTTAAGAGGGAGTTCTTGATATTGATTAAAAAAAAAGAAAGAAAAAAAAAGAGGGAGTTCTTGATTTGAGTTCACATCAAAAAATCGGAATCGTTTTTTTTTTAAACTCTTGATTTGAGTTCAGGTTTATTTGACGACCTTTTGATTTTGAACTGAATCAAATCATTTTGAATTGTTTTGATTTAGGGTTTAGTTTATAAATTTCAATTATGCTCCGTAGGACAATCTCGAAAGCTTCCTTATATTTTCCATATTTAGAGACCGTCAAAAAATGTAATAATAATTGACATTTTTACAAGATATAATTGACATTTAAAAGATTCTCTAAAGACCAAAAAAAATTGAGATGGACTTCCATGCAAAGTCAATACACATACAGAAACGCGTATTAGAAAAAAAGCTTCATGTGGTCTTCCTCAAGACATGTTCTTGTTCAACTCGTTGGAATCTTTTTCTTTTCTCTTTTTCTTTTTTTTCTTTTTGGTTATGAATATTACAGTATTCCTTGTTTTGTATTAAACATTACAATATGTAAGTTTGGGAAGACTAGGACCGAAGAATAAAAACATCAAAAAAATCGGAATTGGTTTTTTTGAAACTCTTGATTTGAATTCACCTTGATTTGTCGACCTTTTGATTTTGAACTGAATCAAACCACTTTGAAGTGTTTTGATTTAGGGTTTAGTTTATAAATTTCAATTATATTCCGTAGGACAATCTCGAAAGCTTCCTTATATTTTCCATATTTAGAGACCGTCAAAAACGTAATAATAATTGACATTTTTACAAGAAATAATTGACATTTAAAAGATTCTTTAAAGACCAAAAAAATTTGAGATGAGACTTCCATGCAAAGTCAATACATATACAGAAACGTTTCATGTGGTCTTCCTCAAGACATGTTCTTGTTCAACTCGTTGGAACCTTTTTCTTTTCTCTCTCTTTTTTTTTGTTATGAATATTACATTATTCCTTGTTTTGTATTAAACATTACAATATGTATGTTTGGGAAAACTAGGACCGAACAATAAAAACATCAAAAAATCGGAATCGCTTTTTTGAAACTCTTGGTTTGAGTTCACATTGATTTGTCGATGTTTTCATTTTGAAACGAATCAAACCACTTTGAAGTGTTTTGGTTTAGGGTTTAGTTTTGTAAGTTACTTTTGGACTCATTTGATTAATTTTATGAAAGTAGTTCTGATGGTTAGAATAGTTTTTAGAGGAAATGTTTTTACAAATTAGTTTTGAAATAAAAATTAAGGTAATTTCTTTCAGAAACTCTTTTAAAAGAAGTAAAAGATAAAGCAAAAATCATATCAAATGGATCCTTACTATCATTTGAAATGTAAAGCACGAAACTTTTCTTAAAGTCTTGATTCATTTCCCGCAATTGTAACCTAAGATGTGTTATAAATGACAATGGTTGAATTATGCACGGGGGCATGTTTAGTAGCTTTAGAAATCTACTTATAAGTAAATAAGTTTCAACATTTAATTACGTTTGATCATTAAAGTTATAAATAAGTAACTACTTTATTTTAAAATGAGTGCCTGTGTTGTTGTTCTTATTTATCTTACGAGGATTATGCAATTTTTTTCTACTATCAAAACTAATTTTAAGTTTTATAAAGTACTAATTTCAAAAAGAAAGTAACTTTAACATGCACTTTAGTAAAAGTAAGAGTAAGAAAAAATGTTCTATTTTAATATATTTGAGAACTACTATTTATTATAATGTAAGTTAACTTATGTTTAAACTAAACTGAAAATACTCTCAATATCGTGAATCCGCCTTCAACACTAAAATAAGAACAATACGA